AAAGCTGCAATGAACATGGGTGTGCATATATCTGCTTGGATGTCAGCTATGGTCTCTTCAGGGTATATTCCCAGTAGTGGAATTGCTGGGTCAAATCTTCAATCCATTTAACTCTTCCATGCTCTATTACAAGATTCCAGTTTTGAAACCAAGAATGAACAGATTTGTCTTGCACATCTGAGGTTTTCTAGAAAATGGAGTAAGGAGGAACGGGGGAGGGAAGCCCACTATGTTTGAGTTTGTTTTAACTCACAGAGACCCTATAAAGGGTACATAGCAGAGTTGCCTGTAGGATTCCCAAGAAGGAGATTTTTCAGGGAGGCTTACCATCTCTTCTTTCTTCCACAGAGCTGAACCCTTTAACCACTGTCCAACCTGCTGTGTACTGTCAGTTGGAACCAGCTCATAGCTGACTGCCACAGATTCTCAGAAGCACTAAATCACACGGAGGAAATTGCCCGTCTTTCTCTTGTAGAGCAGCTGGTGGATTGGAACCAAGTGCCTTTGGAATGGGGGGGCAGAGATTGGGGGGGTTGCACCAGAGCTTCTTATCACTAGCCACCAGAGCTCTTTATTGGCCAACTTGGTATCTAATATAAGAAAATAGGTTCCATCACACTTGATATTAGAAATCATTTGTTGTTTAGGTTCAGTAAGTAATTGAGAACTACACCCCATTTGTGTTTATTATTAACAGGGTTAAGTGTGTCGGAGACAATGAGGTTGGTTCAGGTTGGAGTAGGGTTCAAAGTTGTTGTACATAGGGTCGCTATGGGTTGCAGGCAACTTGGCAGCACATAAGAACAACAACATAGGCTATTGAAAATACTCTGCCAGAGTTGGGTATTTTCAAAGTGACATCTTTGCTTCTTAACACTTTGAAGAAGTCCTGAGAGCAGATTCACTCAATGCAATATTTCATTTCATTTCTTCTAAAAACTTTTTAATTGTGATTTGAGAAAAAGTTTACAGAGCAAATTGATTTTCTGTTTAACGATTTGTACACATTATGTTTTATAATGACCCTCAAGCAGATGGACTGTGTCCCAGTGGCTGCCGCATTGTTCTTGAGATGTCAGGAATGATCAAGATGGTGCAGGATAAGACAGGGTGCAAATCTATTGTTCATAGAGTCACTCTGAGTCATACTCGACCTGATGTCACCTAACAAGAACAGCATATTTCATGACCTTGATAAAATCACCGCATTCTGATAACCGGTCTTCTCACTTCCTAGGTTTTCTGTTTCCAATATCCTTCCTATCCCTCCCTGCCTTCTGCGTTTTATCTACCCCTTGATTTCTTGTCTGCTACTTCCATTTATTGTGGTATCACTCCTCCAAATGAAAGGAAATCTTTGATAACTTCCATCTTTTCTCCAGTTACCATGATACTGCTTATGGGTCCAGTTGTGAAGATTTTTCTTATCTTTTTATTGAGGTATAAGGGAACCCTGGTTGCCTAGAGGTAAGAAGCTGCACTGCTGTATGTCATTCAAGTGTTTAGAATGAAATGTGTTGAAGTCCAAAAAAAGCATGTAAAGTGGGATGATATTAAAAAAATAATAATAAAAGAAGCGGACTGCAATCCTGACGGCATGGTACACAGTAACAGCAACCCATATTGAAGGTTGTTGTCTTTGATCTTCTTTAAGTAAGTGCTTTTAAGTCCCCTTCAATTTCTGCAGCAAAGGTGGTGTTGTCCATTTACTACAGTTTATTGATGATTATTCCTCCTTATAATTTCTCTAATCTAAACTCTTCATATAGTTCAGTTTCTTGGCTTATTTGCCCAACATGCATACTGAATGTTGTTATTGTTGTTCAGACAGATCTGAACCCTGTCCTGTGCTATGCCGTCCTCATAATCTCTGACATACTTGAGCCTGTTGCTGCAGTCACTCTTTCAGTCTGTCTTGCTGAGAGTCTTTTGTCTTTTGCTAACCCTTCATCTTTCCAAGCATGATGTCCCTTTCCAAAGAATAACTTCTCATAGCAACATGCCCAAAGTATGTGAGATAAATCTTCACCAT